AGAGATGGATTGGCCAGATGGCAGCATCGATGGACTCAAGTGTGGAACAGTGGTGAAGTTGGCCCAGGATCGGGCAGTGTTTCATTGTGCTGTGCATAGGGTCACTATAATTCAGTGCCAGCTTGATGGCACCTAACTACAACAACAACAACCAAACAAAACTTTTAATAGCTTCTTATTGACCTTGTGATATTCTTTATTATAACCCACAGGTCCTGTATGGGCTGAATATTGCTGTTGCGCAGTGCCATTGAGTTGATTACAGTTCACAGTAACACCATGTGGCAGAGGAGAACTGCCCCATAAGATTTTTTTAGCTGTCATCTTTATGAGAGCAGATCACTGGTTCTCACTCATGCAGATCCTCGAGGTGGATCCCAAGTTCCAGTCTTCCAGTTTGCTGCTGAGCACTCAACTGCTGTACCATTAGAGCTTCTTATCAATTGAATTGTAGTTGTTATTAAGTGCCATCAAGTGGTTTCCAGCTCACAGTGACCCTTTATAGGGTTTCTGAGGAGTTACTCATGGGTTTGAACTGCTGGCCTTGCAGTTGCAGTCCAGTGCTTATCCTAAAGCATCACACCAGGACCCCATAGGTTGAACTGTTATTGTTGCTTTTGCTAATTGTTGTCATGTTGACCTGGAACCTGTAATTGTGACATCCTTTGGAAATAGGATCCTGTGGATATCATTAAATTAAATTATGTCATACTAGATCAGGGTTTTCCCTAAATCCATGGCTTAATTCTTTATTGGAAAAAGGAGGTTTACAGAAGGCAGATACACACAAAAGGAAGAAAGCCATATGAAGACAGAGACAGAAATTGGAATGAGGCAGCTGCAAAGAAGATACAACCTTCAGTATGATGACACTTCAGCATAATGTAAACAAAACTGCTCATAACTGAAGCAAGCATGTTACTATTTGAAGCAACTAGAGACCCTAACACAGAATACCAAATGCACGGTCACAGAGTTGATTCTGGCTCAGAGTGACCCGAGATTAAATCTTTATGGGACCAGACAGTGTCATCTTTTGCACTCTGAGTGACTGGTGGATTTGAACTGCTAACCTGTGGTTATTAAACCAAAGCTTAACGCACAGTGCCACCAGGGGCTGTAACATAAGTCTAACACATAATGGGTATTCATTAAGTATTTGTTAAAAGAACAAATCGTTAATTAGAGGATGGTTCAAAATAAACTTAAAGTCTATATTAAAGCAACTATATTTAAATATTCAGATGGTGTTGGATTCTTGTTATGATATTAACTCTACCTTTGTCAATTCATTTTTTTCTCCTTCATGAAACTTTTTTAACCCACCAAAACAGAGGTGTGTTTCCTTTGGATTAACTCTTGGCCTAGCACACATACCTCCTTCTGTCCTCATTATAAACCACCATCTGTTAGTAGTTTTTCCATTTCTGTTTCTTCAGGAGATCCTATCCTTATCGATGGGGGGGAACAATGGCTTATTATTTTTATTATTATTTCACTTATTATTTTTGAATCTTCAATGCCTACCCCCAAATTTATTGTATACCAAGTGCTCAATAAATATTTGATGTATCAATAAATATATAAAGTTAAGCTACTTGGATCATTAAAAAAAAGCTCATTTTTTTTTTATAAAATATTAATACTGAACTCATGCTCAGTATTTAAGGAAACTATGTTGTTGTTTTTTTTTAAGTAAATGCCAATGGCAGGTTATTCCTATCAAAAATACTGTTATTCCATACTATTTCAATATTAAAAATATCACTTTGGTACTTTGTTATGTTAATAAAAACTAAAGGAGAAGCAATTAATATAATTCCTCCAGTAAATAGAAGAGCAAGAACTTGTATAATAGCTTCCATATTAATATATATATATGTATTTATTGATACAGCAAACATTTATTGAGCACTTGGTACACATTGAATTTTTGGATAGGCACTGATGATTCAAAAACAATGAATCGTAATAATAATAATAAATCTATATCAGAGTGAAACAGTGTTTTTGTTACTGTTCAATCTGTATTGCCCTGAACAGGTTTGGGAATTAGGACATAAGGAAAGAGATACTTTAAGTGCCGACATATTTCATAAATTCATCCCAATCAGAGCCCAGTCACTAAATGAGGGACAGCTACTTTGGCTACACTCATGATTCTAATAAGCTGATGTTTAAAACTTACAAAATATTAAAAACCATAATTAGGAGTAAGACTCAGGGCTTCTAAAGGCAAGTTAAGTGATAAAAGCAACACAATGACAGCTGACAGAAAAGTAGGACTCAGTCATTAAAAGGAGTCCCAAAATAAAACCCAAATCAAAACAAAGAACCCAGCCAACGAGTCTGGGAGTTATTTCGTTTAGTAAAAAAGGATACTTTTTAGGAAGGAAAGTAGCATACAGTCTACAGCACAATCCAACTATTAATTTTAGTGTATTAATTATTGTTTATAATGATAACTTTAATTATGAAAATATAATTATGTTTAATATAGATTAAGATAACAGGAAAGTATGCAATATATTTTATAACTCCAAAGTAAATGATTAAAACAATCACACTTCAAATGACTTATGGGCATTTAGTCCTGGTGTGGAGCTATAGGATAAGCGCTGAACTGCTAACCACAGGGTTGGCAGTTCAAACCCACCGGCCTCTCCTTGGAAGCCCTATATAGGGTCGCTATGAGTCAGAATCTGCTTGATGGAACTAAATAACAACAAGAAGAAACAACTAAACCTAAAATATACAGAATAATACATGTCTCAAGAATTCCGGAAGCTAATATTTTATTATCTTAAGATACCATCTTGATTTGAAATTGTTGTTCATTGCCATGTAGTTGGTTCTGACTCACAGTGACCCTGTATAGGGTTTCCAAGGATCAGCTGGTGAGTTTGAACAGCCTCCCTTGCAGTTCAAACCGACCTCGTGGTCTAGTACACTATCCTACAGTGCCACACCAGGATTCCTAATTTGAAATAAAGGAACCTCTTTCTGGAAGAACATATATGTCAACGAAACTACTGTTCTATGATCTGAAATAGATATTAAAAAGAAGAAATACAAAAAGCTACCATACCTGTTGTGAACCACTGAAATTTGTTGAGTTGGAAACTGAAGTGTTTGCATAAATAGACGAGGATGGAGCAAAACTAGAACCTAAAGACAGAACAAATCACATTTTAAAACTGTCTCTTGCACAATAATGAAAATACTTCACTTGGCAGAATTCTGTACGATAAACGTTGAGTTTTGTTATAGTTGTTAAGACAACGAAAATTGAAGCTGAGTGATTTAGAAAGAAATTGGTTACTTCTATTTCCTCTTATAACAGCAGCTAAAGTCTTTCCTCTGGGAGTTCAATTAAACAGAAACACATTGGAATAGCCTTTATAAGGACTGCAGCTAACAGACAAGGGTTAAGTATCCAGTGGTGGTTGGTGGTTATGTGCTGTGCAGTTGGTTCTGACTCATAACGACCCTGTAAAGGGTTTCTGAGGCTGTAAATCTTTACAGGAGAAGAAAACCTCATCTTTATCTCGCAGAATGGCTGGTAGTTTTGAACTGCTGACCTTGAGGTTAGCAACCCGACTCCTCCAGACTGAGACTACTTCCAAGGAAACCACTGGAACTTGCCAAATTATCCTATCAACTGCATTTGCATACAAAATCGCCTATTTTAAACCTTTGGATGTGACTACCTTAGGAAATAAACAGTTCAGAATCCATTTAGATTTGATGTTTCCATCTCCCTCTTTTATTTATTTATTTTTTGGTTTCTCTAAATCCTTTTGTTTGAAAGAAAATAGTTGTGATCTAGAGTTCAGATTCAAGGGAAACCATTTAACAGTGATTTGGATTTGTAGGCTGTCTAAAGCTTTTGAATTTATTGGAGTAAGGCAAAAATCAAAAGAATAATCACAGGTCTAACAAAATGTCTTCACGTAACAGATCTGTCAAGGGGAAAATGAAAGACAATTGAGACAAGTGATTAATCGTTTTGTCAAGGTATTTTGAATAGCAAGAGTATTATGTAATGAACACAAATTGGCTTGGCTTGGAAAATGCAAATGACAGTAATTGGGGGAATAAATGAAAACGTCTCTATGTTCTCTTTTACACTAAGTTAAGCGGTGTGGTTCACTGGTTGTAACATATATGCAAATATGTGTGTACCTACATTCTAAATGAATGTAGATCTGCCATTTCTACTAAAAACGTCTATGCAATTATTTTATTTAGTCAACCTACTTAAATGTCAATACTAGCAGCTTCAAACTGTTAATTTAGCTGACATTACCTAACTTTTAATATTTTTAACTATGCCACTAAAATTCTTTCTGAAACTACCATATAAAAAGCAAACATAATTTTTATAGGAATCAAAAATAAGAAAATTTAATAATCATATATTGACTTTTGGGAGGGATACAATTTATATAAATTTTTTATTAGAACATATAGCTTCATAGGGAATTGTTAAGAATGAACAAAAAATTCTCAGTCATTCAAAGATAAATGAGACTTACAAAAGTGCTAATTCAATTTTAAATAGAACCAGAACAGACTTATGCACCTAAGGAATACTGCAAAGAAAATACTGGTTTGTGTCCTGAATCTTTTAAACAGCTTAAATACTAATCAAACCTGCTGACATATGACTTTGCAAACACTGGTGTGGAGGCTTGCTTTGCTTGGACATGGTTTCCTGCCTATATTGCACAGTTTAAATTTAAATATTTAAAGTTGGTAAGGCTCATGCTTCTTGATGTGTATTCAACTAGTTCATTATGTTTCTGCCTACTTATTTTATTCTGATGAAATTGTGTACACAGCGGTAACGTTTAAAACTCTCTTCATGATGTATATTCCTATAGTCTGAAGTCAGGGAATCTCATTCAAAGAATTGGTCTTCATAGAACAGGTTTTATGTATGTCTACTTACCTGGCATTTGGTAAGAATAAGGCGTCTGGCCGGGCTGCGGGGTGGAAAACCCTGGGCTGTAACTGAGGCAGCCGCTCTGTAATGGGGATTGGGTTTGTGAAAGTCCACTCTCTGTCTTGATGCCTGGCAACATCACACCCAAATCTGTATGGAAAATGCAGGGGTAAACCATTTCATTCGTAAAATCATCTTGATTCTGAGCTACAACTTGTATCAGTATATTCAACTTTTAACCAACAGAATTACCTGCTTACAACCAAAGTAAGAAGATGGAAGACATGAAATACCGTAAGTTGGCAGGCTGTACGGCTGTCCTGTCTGAGAGTAGGCCGTGTAGACGGCTGGCTGCTGCATCCCCGAATACTGAGTCTGGCCTGCATAGGCGGACATTGTTTGAGCTGCTGGTGTAGAAAGAATGTGTGGATAGGGCCTAAATATCAGAAAAATAGCATTACTGTGGCAACAAAGACTGCATATTAATTCAGACAGTTTAGATTCAGTGAGACCTTATAATATCCAGAAAGTAACCCTGCTATATATTCACAATTTTATTTTAATAATACAGGAAAGAACAAAACAAGTTTGAATGTCAGGAGCCCAGGCATTTGTAGTGAAGTACAAACCAATCTATGACCTTGGACCAATAATTTAACCACCCTGTGCCTACGCTTCACCTATAAAACATGAAATTTGGTTTATATATTCATGTGAATTCTTTCCCAGTTCTTTAATTTTTGTTTACATCTGATATAGTACTCCAGTCAATACATAAATGATAAAAATGGAGTACAAGCCAGTTAATTAACATACTTATTAGCACATTTACAAGTATCAGGAGTGACTTACTACTATATAGTGACTACAAATGTCTATTTAAAATCCTTGGATTAAATAGGTACAATAAGCACTGGACTGCTAGTCACAAGGTTGGCAGTTCAAACCTATTAGCTGCTCCTCAGAAATCCTAAACACAGTAGCTGTATGTTGGAATTGACTACATGACATTTAACAACAACAACAAATATTCTAAAACTTGTGGTGAAAATTGGCAGTATTATTATACCACACACATTGAGTTAGAAAAAACAACTAGAAGTAAATATATACCCAAACCAATTGCCATCGAGTCAATTTTAACTCACAGTGACTTTATTGGATACAGAGTAGAACTGCTCCATAGGGTTTTGAGGTTGCAAATCTTTATGGGAACATCTTTCTCCTGCAGAGGTTGGTAGGTTTGAACCAGTGATCTTGTGATTAGCTTAACCATTACACCACAGGGCTTTACTAGCATTTGAAAAATTCAATTCTTAAAATGGGCTATTTAAATGAAGATAATTAATTTCTTAAAGCATCCCAATTTTATGTGACAAGTTAAAATTAATGGAAATGCTACACATGAACCGTTTCAGGAGTACATGAGAAGCATATGAAAATGTGTGGAGGTTCAACAAATGTTACATTAAATGACAAGTCATTCTGAAAGATAGATCGATCATCAAACTTGTCCAGCAACTCCAGGGAGCAGACTCATGAACATGTAGTTAACTGTCTATGTCCATATCTTCAGCCTGAGGTCATTTGCTAGTCTGCATGGCTCTTACTGTTTCTTTTTCTATTTTTAGGGACGCAATCTAACAGAAATTGGAAATATTTGAGAAAAAACAAACAAACAAAAGAGTAGATGGGTTTCTGAAAATAAATGGAATATCCTTCCTTCCATATTATGTCACATTTTATATAATGTCCCCAACTGACACCTAATCCTTAGCCTAGATTTAAGGACATGCCAGATGCTGCAGAAAATAATGTTACCCATAAATAACATATGTATGGAGTCCTGGTGTGGAGCTATAGAATAAACAGTGGAATGTTCACCACAAAGTTGGCAGTTCAAACCCACCAACCACTCCTTAGAAATCCTATACAGGGTTGTTATAAGTCAGAACTGACTTCATGGTACTTAACAACACCAGCAATCACAAAAATAAAATTTTGGAACATCTGGATGATTACAAACAAATTCAGATATACCGGCAATACAGTTCAACTCGAAATCTGTATCACTGTCCTCAGTACACTGATGACACAAGATATAAAAATAATAAAGTATATTCTTCAAAATTATGCTTATTGGAATGTGAAATCCAGTAAAATATCTGCCATGGAATAAATTACAAAGTGATAAAGTATGTAATCTGTTTAGATTTTCTTAAAACTAACTGGCCTTTTGGAATTTGCCTTAAAATACCAACCCATTCTGGTTTGAACTTTAGGCTTTTATTGAAAAGGAATATAAATATCTAAAATGAAGAGAAATGTCCAGAGAAAAATGAATAAGTCTTTATTTCTAGGCTAATACAGAATACCTATCTGCCTGATCTATCTGTGCAGCTCTGTATTTATAGAACATTAATATTTCTAATTATATGCTAAAGTTGTCATACTGTATGAATACGGATTATTAAAGATAACACCAGAAAATTGTTCTAACAATCTGAAAGATTCTGCTGGCCACTTACTTGGAAGGATAGAGCTGCGGGGAATACTGGTGTGCTGATCTAGGACTGTAGCCGCTACTTGTTATTACTGTAAGACACAAGAACCAGTGCACACAAGATTGCCTCATAAATACATTTCACTAGAGTGTACATAACCAATTTGAAGAAATTACCGTGTTAAAATTCTATTTCTAAACATTTTCTAAAAAGAAAATTAATTCATCATCTAAAATTCGTTTTCTAAACAGAAACAGCTGCCTAAACATATTCTCCCAGTTAAATGGCTTCACATTTTGTTCTAAGAGCATGAAATGAACATTCTTTTCGTAAGCCACTCCCCTCTAGCATTCTTCTGTTTTTTCAAGTCAGTAGCATGCTCTTATGTATCAATATGCTATGAATGCAAAGCTTTTATGAGAGGATAAGGAAGCTTTTTTGATCTAAAAATCAGATTTCTGAAGTTGGCAAACTTAAGTTTCCGATTCCAAATATGAGGGTGTTATATGCTGCTCTTCCACCATATCTATTCTAAATGAACTGCAATCAAAATGTATGGAAAACTCAAAGTTCTAACTTTCAATTTCAAACTGTAAAATGCCATTGTTTTCTAATTCCTTTCCTGTTGCTGATAAGATGGGTAGTCAATAAGGCAGAGTCCAAATTATTCTAGGAAGAATTGGAATACACATAGAAAGCATGGGCAATAAATAGCAAGCCTTTGTTTTATAAAAATTAATCACAAAATTTTCCAAATGCACAAGCAAATACATTTTCAACTACCAGATATATTACTTTCCTAAGGAGAACTTGAAGGTGATAGTCAGGTCCTATTAATGTTTCATCAAACATACAGCCCTATACTGGAATATAGCCAAAAGTTGGGACATTTCTCTTTCCTTTAGCCATCTGCTGTGACTAAGACAGATGGATAGCGAATCTATGGACTCTAAAGTGTTGGGTCAGTCCCTTCAGAGCCTACCCATACTGGACAAGCACACAGAGTGTCTTTATTAGGCCATCTGCTGTTCATTCACTTTTCAAAAAGATTAAAGTAGTACCCAACGTAGCCCTGGAATTAGTTTAGTCTAATCAATCATAGTTGTACTTCAAAGTACTATGTCCTTTCCTAGTTGTTCATAATAATTCTGGAGCTAAACTTTTATAATTGTAAAAGTGACAAATAGGTTTAGGTTGCTAACTATTTTATGAAACATGATATATTTCTATATCCAAATGCCATTAAGGATCCTTGTGATCTATTGCTTCATAAACATGCAGAATTTAATATGTTTAAAATGCTCTATTGCCTACAAGCTTTGAGTACGGACAGAGTAATTTAGATTTCATAGAAATGGTGCAGAAGAGGATCATTTGAAGAATATGAGTCCAATTTGAAAGTCACCCAAATATTTAGAACATAGGTGTATGCTTTAAACATTTTCTGCCACCAACATTTCAGTGTACTTGTTATATATAGTTAATAGTAAACTGTCAGTTCAACTATTACATTCTACTTATTTATATAAAAATAACTTAGAGAATATTTACAGCTTTCAAATCAATTCAATGAGAATAAGTTCTTTCTACTGCATTATGGTCAAAACATTTAAATTATATAATAAAATAGAAATGTCTAGTAGAAAATTCAGTCTGACTCAAATTCATAATAGTAATACTCTGTTTAACAGACCTATAGTTGTTGTTGTTGTGAAGTGCCATTGTGTCAATTCCGACCCATAGCGACCCTATATAGGGTTTCCAAGGAACAGGTGGTGAGCTTGAACCACTGACCTTGCAGTTTAAACAACTTTGCAGTCTGATGCATTAGCTCACTTAGATGATGCTTAATCCTATGATTTTTTTTTTTTTTTTTTTTGTCTATTTGTGAAGCTTCAGTTTGGCCCACTCTGCATTGCTGTATTATCAGTTATTTTCAAGAATGTAAAACACAGGCTTTTTCAAAAAGACACTGAATAATGCAAAATAATATTTACTTTAGCAGTTTTTATTGAATAAGCCAAATGGCAAACATATATTTCCCAGAAATCCTATATACCTGCAAACAACTCTGAATATGCTAGTGTGAGTCATCTTTCTAATGAATGAATCTAGACATAGTTAGAATAGCATATCCACAATCATACAAAGGCTTGATAAATCTTTAAAATTTCAAATTTAGTGTCTGTATATTCATTATCTAAACAGAAGATAAAATCTTCAGTTTAGAAAACTAAGATGCTCACATATGGGCTAAAGCTTGGAAAGTTTGTGTGTTTTTTTATTAAAATGTCTACTTCTGTGCATATGTTGTTGTTGTTGTTAAGTGCTGTCGAGTCGGTTCCTACCCATAGCGACCCTGTACAGGGTTTCCGAGGCTATGTATGTTTATATGTATATACATACATAAATATATCTACAGATAACTGGAAGACAAAAAAATTTGCAGAGTGAGTTGTGACTATGCTGATCAAAACAAAGTAAGAACTGCTTTTATAAAGGGGAGCCTACTCTCCTTAATAGGAGCTCTGGTAGCGTAGTGGTTACGAATCAGGCTGCAAACCGCAAGGTCAGCAGTTCAAAACTACCAGCTGTTCCGTGGGAGAAAGATGAGGCTTTCTGCTCCAGGAAAGATTTATGGCCTCGGAAATCCTGTACAGGGTCTCTCTCTATGAGTCGGAACTGACTGAATGGCACATAACAACAACAACTCTCCTTAATGATTTCTGTAATGCCATGAACAACTTTGGGAGATCTGTCACTGAATTAATCATAGACATTACTCAAAGAACTCAACTAGTTATATATTTCAGCATTTCTGCACGTTGTTGCTATTGTTAAGTATTGTTGAGTCAGTTCTGAATCATAATGACCTCATAGGTTCTCCAAGGAGTGGCTGGTGGGTTTGAACTGCCAACCTGGTTGTTAGCAGTCTATTACTTATCCTTTGTGCCACACCAGAACTCCATTTTTTTGTGCATAAATGTAAGCGAATTCTTGTCTTCAAACATGAATTGATTAAAACAAATATTTTAGAGTTTATTATCAGCTTATCAGATGAAGGAGTCAATTTTAAGATTTTATTCTTATCATTATCTTCACACCCTACATCAGTGACTTTCAGTGAGAGAAATAAAAGGGAATTCTGACTGTTGTAGATACTTAAGTATGTCTGGAGACCTTTTATGTTGTCAAAACTGGGTGTGGGGGTGGTTTGCTACTGGCATATTAGAATAGATGCCTGGTATGCTGCTAAACAGGGAGCTCTGGTAGCATAGTGGTTATGAGTTGGGCTGCTAACCTCAAAGTCAGCAGTTCAAATCAGCCAGCTCTTCTGAGGGAGAAAGACGAGGCTTTCTGCTCCAGTAAAGATTTTTCACCTCGGAAACCCTATGCAGGGTTGCTATGAGTCAGAACCAACTTCAAGGCATACCACCACCATCACCATGCTGGTAAACATCCTAAAATAAGAATCTAGGGCTGAGATTCTCAATAGCAATCGGAACAACAGAACTTTTCCTGAGGTTGGAAGTGTTCTACATTTGTGTTGTTCGCTATGGTAGCATCTAACCACATATACGACTAGTGAATTTCGGTAGTGCAGTCTGGAGCTTCATTACAAGGTGAAAGTCTGATGGTTTAAATTCATCCAGAGGTGCCTTGGAAGACAGGCCTCACAATCTGATTCCAAGAACCCTATGGAGCAATTCTACACAGCACACAGGGGCCACCATGAATTGGCAATGAATCAATGACCTTCGACAAAATCACAAGCCATACTATAGCTGTGATCCTGCTGAAATAGACTAGGGAGCCCTGCTGTGGTGCTGTAGGATAAGCACTGAACTAGTAACCACAAGGCTGGGGGTGCAGACGCACCAGTCACTCCTAGAAAACCCTTTACAGGGTTTTTATGAGTTGAAACCAACTTGATGGCACTTAAAAATAAGTGACTAGAATTAACTTTTAAATTTTATCCAGTATTAATACAAATAAAAATGTAAGTAGTCACATATGGCTAGTGTCTACTTTAGTGGACAGCACAGCCCTCAATAGAAAATTGGGAAGTCATTTGGAAAGATTAGAGGAGTGGATTTCAGGCAGAGTAATTTTTCAAACCTATTTGTTGTTCCATATTCTTATTTTCCAGAGGAGTACTTCAGAGAAGACTGATGATCACAACCCTATTCTTGACTTATTTCTAGCAAAGGCCTTGACTGTGTGGGTTTTTTACTTCCTAGCGCCTCAGTATTCTTACTTAAAAATGTATCCGAGACCACTGAGATTGTTTCTGGAATTAACGTTTTATTATTTTGTCATTCGGCTTTCAATTAATTTTCAGTATACTTTTTAAGCACATCAGCATTTAGTTAATTTTATTTCTTTCTTAAAAAACATGTTTGGAAAGTTTACCAGCGCTATAGCACGTGAGCAAAAAAGAATGCAAGAGTCAGCCACTACATATTTATCCCTAGGAGGTGGGTGAAGTGCTAGAAAGTATGTGGATTAGTACATAAGAGACTCTCTGCAAAGTTTATATAACACTCTTCATTTGTAGTACTAATAATTATGTGAAGACATGACAATTGCTTCCAATCAGTGTGAACTATAAAAGTGGTTTATGTATAGTAACAAGAATCAATTGTATGCAATCATGATATTATACTTAAAGATAGTCCTCAATCCTGTTTACATAAAGCATGTCCACCTAAAATTCTTATCCATGTGTACATGTGTAAATATGAAATATGTTAAAGTAGACTAACAGAATTCAAGATTAACTGCCATAAATACTTTTCTCAGTTGAATGTTCCTCTTTTGAATATACACATACTCTTCTTTAGGCTCAAAAAAAAACTTTCATCAGCTAATAAACCAAAGAAAGTATTATAACTTAAATACAATCAACTTAATTTGTGCCCTTTGTGCCCAGTTGGGAGTTACCTGGTATTTTTATTTTAAAAGGATTGACATTTAAAGACAGGCCATTGTTCCCTTTGAAGCAGTCTGAGGGAAAGTAGTTCTCTCAAAGGCTGTGTTTTTTCAAGCCACCAGCATGTGCTCTACTGCTGCCCATTAACCTTTACTACTTGTCACTCAGCTGCTTACACAGGAGGAGTTTTTTAAACCCAGGGAGGAAACAAGGTTATTTAGAAGGAATCAAATGGATAGGTTTACGTCTTAAATGGTGGACAGAAGGTAGTTTTTTATGTAATCTAAATGGGAACCTGGAAGGAACAAAGCAGATTATCATAACCTAACTGGTAAATTTAAAAAAAAACAAAACAAAAAAAACTGTATAAAACAGAATGTAGGCAGTCAGCTCTGCTTATTTATAATATGAAACTCATGGAACTGTTTTGGTGTCACTAAACACCCAGCAAAACAATTTCCAAATATAATTTTGAAACTTAAATAGTGTTAAGACTCCGGGCACTCAAAAGAATGAATTTACTGCTAAGCTTATCAAAGTCGCATTTCTAGCAGCTTTGGTATTTATGTTGATTATTCACAAGGAGGGTTCTGAAGACCCCAATGTGTATGGAACAACACACGAGCTTAAGGCTTTACCTGACCCAGTAAAAGTGTCAAGCGCTCCATCTCCAGTCGTGGATGTGGTTTCACTGCTGTTCAAAGGCTCTGTTTTGACTGCAAGAAGAGACACTACGTAGAAGAATAAGGACATGTGAGTTTTACTGCTAAATTTATATTTAAGAACCTGACTGCTCCACTCACGAATTTTCTAGCTACTATGGGCATGCAAGAGGAAAGTTGATGAGAGTTTTGTTAATTTAGCTTCTAAAGGGACATGCATTTATAGAGGATTTAATGTAAAATCCTCTAGCTAGTTATTTTTAGAAACTCTCTTTTGAAGGCAGTCATCCTTAGAGAGTTTAAGAGCAATACACATATTTGCATTTTTAAGTTACTTAAAGCGCACTCTGATATTATCATCAAAAGACAGGAAAAGAAGGACTCATCAGTCAGTCTTAAGCACAATGAATCTAAATCATAACAAGGAGATTTACTACCTTAAACTTGATTCTTTCCAAGAAGACATTAAAAAAACAAAATGTATAAAAGTATGATGGAGACATATACAAATACAGAAACCACGGGCCTATTCACATTATGGGTAGAAAACAAGGCACTCACTCATTCATTCATTAATTTTTCTTCTCTAAACGAGAATAAAGAGTCATCCATGTTGAGTACTTTTTACTTGAGTGGTGAACCAATTTTTGATGTATTATAGTGATGCCCTGTGTCTCCGAGTTAATTCCAGCTCATAGCGACCCTACACACAGACTAGAACTGCTCCTTAGGGTGTCCCAGGCTGTAAATCTGTATAGAAGCAGACTGCTTCATCTTTCTCCCAGAGAGCACCTGGTGGGTTCAAACTGCCAAGCTTTTGGTGAGCAGCCCAATTGTAACCCACTGTATCACCTGGATTCCTACTATAGCCATAAGCAAAGAATAAGAGATCATTTCTACAGAGATACATACAGCTTTCAAAAACCTTTCAATACAATCATTGTACTTTGAGGTCCTGTATTTTGTCAAAATCTCATTTGGCAATGATGTACACAGGCATACATTGTTGTCATGAGTAGATGCAATGTGAGGGGGTGGTGAGGAAGCCTCTACCCATTTTGTCACACCATATTTTCCCTTTGAGGGCAAATGGTTACACATCTCACAGAAGCAAGGGAATACAGAAATGATTCGCTATTCAACACCTCTTGTGTTTCCTTGTCATAAATGGAATGAAAGAATTAACTTAGAAGCAAGCAGGAAACTATGAAGACAGAAGCTGAAAACTTGCCAACTCTGAACAAATACTGGCAAAAAGAAGGATGGAGTCAGAGTGTACCACCAAACACGCAAGTCAGCAATGCCACAGTTTGTTAGAAAAGCAATTAAGCGATGGATAAACATGCAGTAAGGTGTGTGTTCTATTGCCACATGAACGGAACTGACAATACCCTCAGTGAGATTTGGATTAAGTTAGTACCCATAATTTAACAATGGGAAGGTATGCTAGAGAAATTCAGAGGAGATCATTCAAGGTTGTAAAGAAGTAGAGAGAACTGGTTTACTTGTACTTACAAAAGGGATAATAATTAAGATTCATCTATTTTTCCAATAGCAACAATAATCGACAGAATATCCAAGCCCCCTGCCATGGAGTCAATTCTGACTCATAGTGTTACTATAGAACAGTATCCAACTGCTCCACAGAGTTTTGAAGACTGCCAAAACTATCTCCTGAGGAGCAGTTGGTGAGTTTGAACTGCTGACATTTTGGTTGTCAGCTGAGCGCTTATACACTGCACCACCAGAATGAAGAATAGTAGCTACATGTTTTCGCATTGGTAAATACTGAATTACAGGTTTTGATTTTTCAGTAGCTATTTGCATAATAGTGTGTACCATATCATGTTTGGTAAGGTGGAGGGTCAGAGAAACAGAGGAAAATCCCCAGCGAGATGGAATGGCAAAGTGGCAGCATCAATGGGCTCAAGCATGGCAACAATTGTGAGGTTGGCCCAGGACCGGGCAGTGTTTTGTTCTGTTGTACATAGGGTCTCTATGCGTCTGTTGTACATAGGGTCGCTACTGATTTAATGACACCTAACAACAACAGCAACAATGAGTAAGCTCCTACTTACAGCAACTTTGTGTAGGGTTTCTGAGGCTGTAAATCTTTCTGGAAAGCTGAAAGTCTCATCTTTTTCCAGCTATACTGGATCAATAATTGTATTTACCACTATAAAATTATGGTGTGGCACTGTAGGATCAGCACTGGACTGTGAACCACAGGTTTGCAGTTCAAACCCACCAGCTGCTCCTTGGGAACCCTACACAGGGTCGCTATGAGTTGGAACTGACTCAACGGCACTTAACAACAAATAAATATTATTTACTACTACAAAATTATTTGAGAGCCTCCTATATGTTATATTGTGCACATCTAAAACAATCTAGATCAATAGGAATCACTATATTCATTTTATATAGAAGGAAACCAAAGTTTGATGAGACTGAGAAACTTGTCGATGCCTGATTGTGGGAGACGGTGGAGCTAGTATCTGAACCCAGGGCTCTGGTTCTAACATCCATCATCTAACTAACATAACAAGCTGGTTTGGGTACAAACAATTACGCTTCCCTAAAGCTCATGGAGTCCCGGTGTGGCACTGTAGGATAAGTACTTGATCTCAGAACTGGTTTGAACCGCAAGGTTGGTGGTTCAAACTCACCAGCCACTCCTATACAGCTTCACTATGAGTAGAAACCAACTCGATGGCCCATAACAACAACAGTAAGGCTCACAGAGTAATAAAAATGGAGTTATCTTCTAGACAAAGTAATTGTTTTTTTTGTTGTTTGATGTGTCAGTGAGTCTGTTCTGACTCATAATGACCCTGAATAGGGTTGCCGAGGAGTGACTGGTGGGGTTGAACCAATGACCTTTTGGTTAGCAGTCCAGTGCTTATCACACAGCACCACACCAGGACTCCAGACAAAGTAATTAGGAATATACTATTAAATATAAAAGCTGCAAAATGTTAGGATAGCCTACTAAAGTCTGTTTTCAGTTTCTTCCTCATGAACAATTTACATATCAAGAAGAAGTAGCAAATGTGAAAGCAGATAACAACAAAAGGACATGCTTAAAGGGTAACTAACACGCCAGACATAGTTCCATTTGTTTAACAGGTATTGAAATTTGCTTCCTCCTCACAACAATCTTATAAGTAGATACTGGTATTATCTTTACTTTTCAGATCGGGAAACTGAGGAACAAAGTATTCAAACTTGCCTGTGGTCACATAGCTAGTAAGAGCATGAAGTTAAAACGAAGTGGAGGGACACCAGAATCCAAAACCTTGAAAATACTGCCCCTCAGGTAGCACTAGCTTCTCACCAGCTACACTCATCTGTCTAAAGATAATCCAGAGAGTGAGCTAAATGGTTTAAGGGCCACTCTAAATGATCCAACATCCACATTTGTCTTCTGACATTTATGACAAACAGGTGTGGTCCCAAATCTTCAGCTAAACTAAGATAAGACAGTTTCTTGGAATTTTCAAATTCTAATTGTGACTAAGTTCCTACCTAAACATGTCTAAATCTATAATAATACTTCAAAAATAGATTTATTGACACATAAGAGAAAGAACTACATCTGAGGGTACTTCAAAAAATTTATGGAAAATGAAATTGAAAGTAATGAATTTTTTTCCACAAACTTTTTGAAGCACCTCTCATATCAGTCAATCAAGTGACAGATATATGTTGTTAAGTGCCATTAAAGCGGTTCTGATGCATAGCTACCATGTAAAGGGTTTCTGAGGAGCATCTGGCGGGTTTGAACTGTGGAACTTGTAGTTAGCAGTCCAGTGCTTTTCCTACAGCATTACATAGATATATAGCTAGATGTATATGTTGCTGTTGTTAAGTGCCGTTGAGTGAAAAAGTAATATATATGAATATATATATATATAAAATCTTTCACTTGGGAATTATGTGAGAGGAATATATATGGAATCAATTTTGAGCTATGCCTATGTACTTGTATAACAAACTGATCTAGAAGCCAGGCATGAAAATCAATTTTATTATCTTGGATTCCATCCTTGAGACTTGCTTTAAAAAAAACTTAAGTATTGGTTCTGATCAAAAGCATCTTAATTTGAACTTTTATGTGGCCAAAAGGAAAATAAAGAAGAGGAAGAGATACGATTATGGTCTCATTTGTTATATTGGAAACATATCTCATTAAAATTAAAGACAGTACTTAACCAATGTCATACAAAGAAGGTTCATTTTATGGATGAAGGGCATCTCCAGACAGCATATGAAGGTAAGTATAAATAGAGAAGTATAAATATTAAGATGTGTCCACTGTAATAAAATGCATAGATTTTAAAGTAGTAACTCCATAAAACAGATGCTAACATTTAGGAGAAAACTTAGTACATTAATGTAAATTTGTTCTTCATATGTAGGTAAGGGCAGAACAAAAGGAAACAGGGCATAAATCAATACACTGCTACAAAATAAATTTCTTCACATTAGGTGAGTATCAATAAACATCTCGTAAGCTCCAAATAAGATTTAAATGTTATATTGGCTTTATTTAAAAAACACAACATAGACGATAAATAAATATTATGAGTTTTCAGGAAGAGAAAATAGTAAAAGGGAAATAAAATGGATACTCTTTGAATGATTAGTTGACTTACTAAAAAGAGACATGGGAATGCTAAGAAGTGTGAGCTTAAAATTTGTCAAACATGTTGTTGTTAAGTGTCGTCAAGTTGGTTCTGACCCATAGTGACCCTGTATAGGGTTTCTGAGGAGTGGCTGCTGAGCTTGAATTGCTGACCTTGTGGTTCAAACTGATCTTGCAATCCATCACATTATCTCACAGTGCCACACCAGGGCTCCACATAAAACAGCTGACTACTATAAAATAAGCATTATTTTATACTAATAATTGAAGACAATGTTTTAAACAAATGAAAGTAATTTTCATGAAATCTCCAAATATAATTGACATATATCCCATTTTCATTTGTACAGCTCTTGCTCTCCCATTCTAAATAAGAAATACTAGATACTTCCCTTGTGGCAAGA